TTAGCGGCATTTTGATACAGCCGTCAGAGTGATTTTCAGCAATTCTCGTCGACCAATTTCCAGAAGTGCCGCGCTGCACACCGACAATGGCTTACTCAACCACTTCACTCGCCAACCCGATCCCGCTCCTTCGTCTCGAGCCGAACACCACATGCTCCAACTACAAGGCTTGGCGCTAAGGTGTCGACAAGCACCTCCTCAGTCGCGAGGTGAAGGGGCTCGAGCTCACCGACGTCCGTCTCAACATCGGTGACGGCAAAGAGCCTCCTAAATCCGAGAGGTCCGCCAATCCAGCTAATGCCGCCGCCGAAGCAGTTTATGCTGCTGCACTGCTCAAGTACAAGAATTGGGAGAAGGTCGATGGTGCGGTCATTAGTGTCTTCATGGGCACCACTCCTCCCGAACTCGTCGAAACCTACCACAACTACCCGTCTGCCAACGCCATTTGGCTCTACCTCGAGGATCGCTTCCTGAACAAGATTGCAGTGGGAGTTGCTATACTCATCCCCAGCATGTTCCAAGTGCGGCTCGAGGACTCGCCAGGCATGGCGGACTATGTCACCAAGGTGCAGTCCATTCATGGTGAACTCAAACAGTTGGGGATAGTCTTCCCCGAGCAAGCCCCTGCAGCCGCTCTCCTAGTCGGCCTCACTCCGGCATACGAAGTCACACGCAAGATGCTCTTGGGCCTTGCTCCTGCAGACCTCACATTTGCCAAGGTCTCATCCGCGCTCCTTTCTGCCGAAAAGGACAACAGCGCTCAAGCCAAGGCCAATGCAATCCGCGCTCCTGTGCCTCAAGCCTATGCCGCTTCGGTGCCATTCCAGCGCAACCGCTTCCCCCCGTGTCCCTATGTCATCAAGCGTGGCCCTCGTGCCGGCCAGGTGTGTGGCGGCACCAACAACGCCCTTGCCTCCTGCTTCAAGAAAAAGGATGACGAATGGTATGCCGTCAATGGGACCGCCTCGAAGCCGCCAAGCTGGATGGTCAATCGTGCTCCTCGCTGTTGGTTAGAGAAGGCTATAAGCAGATGATTCAATGGCTCCTTGGAAATTTCTGCAGCACTTCGTTATGACGCCCAGAAAACTCGCGACCTTCGAATAGCTATATCCAAAACTCCAATCGGTGAAACGATCTGAAAGGGAAGGACCCTGGAGGCCCATGGTCAAGAACATGACAAGAGTCAAAGTTTTGACTCCCCATCCTCAGGTTCAGCCAGCCTGGCAAGACAAAATTCACACTGTGCCAGGTTGGTCTCCAAACCCCAAATGCTGCAGCTGCAAGGTGGGGACAAAAGTCCCACACATGCTGGTCCCTCCTCGTTATAGGGCTCTCCAACTTTGGTGTAGCAGCTGACAAGGACTTCCAATGAGTTGTAACAAATCCATCAAACATTTCTTCGTAACTTCTTCATATGTGCTCCGATTCCAACAATTCTTGGCTCGTTGGAATGTGCTCGATGTCATGCACAATCCAAGCACATCTGCACAAGCACAAGATGAACATGCAAAGACATGCAAACCCAACAAACCATACAAACAACGTAGCACACAAAACACATGCAAACGAAATGATGCGAACAGACGACAGGATGACGTGCAAATGAATATGCACCAACACACTCCCCCTCAGACTGTCGGCTTGTTTCGCCGTCTCTAGTTCAAGGACATTCCCGCCATCCTCGCACAGCGCCAGTGTGGCTCTTCAGCTAGCCGCTTGGTAAGGAAGTCGGCTGGCTGTTGCTGAGTTTTCACGTAGATCGGATCCAGTGTCCCAAGCTTCACCTCCTTCCGTAGCCAATGCCACTTGATCCTCATGTGCTTGTTCAACCCATGAAGAACTGCATTGCGTGCCATGGCAATGGCTCCCTTGCTATCACTGAACAGAGGTGTCGCACAAGTCTGTTCATGGCCGATCTCCTTCAAGAGCCTCCTTAGCCAGATGATTTCTTTTGCCGCATGAAACATCGCCATGTACTCAGATTCCACTGAAGATAGTGCCGTCTCAGACTGCTTCTTGGACCTCCAACTTACAGGCCCACCTCCCACCATGCAGATGTATCCACCAACTGATGATGAATCCTCATGCTCAGAAGCCCATGTGGCATCAGCAAAATAGGAAAGGAACACCTTTCCTTCTCCGAGCTGCTCCCCCTTCTCTTTGAGGACTTCAACTCCTTTTTGACTGAGTTGAGCAGAGGCTGAATACTGTACTCCCACTGTAGGGTATGACTTAAGGTAGCGCACCACTCTCTCCGCTGCACCACACTGCTCTTCTGTTGGATTTTGCACTACTCGAGCCAGCTGTCCCACAGCAAAGCTGATGTCAGGCCGAGTATGCACAGCAGCGTAGAGTAGGCTCCCGACCATGGATTGGAATTGCCTCTGGTATTCACTCTCAACTCCTTCTCCTTCAGCTGCCTTTATGAGTTTGAACTCGGAAGGCAAAGGTGTGACCACTTCCCGTTCTTCCTGCAGAGAGTACTTCTCAGCCAAGGTGTTGATGTACTGTCCCTGATGCAGTTTGAGCCAGCCACGTTCAGTATCCCGCTCAATGTGCATTCCCAGGTAGTACCTTGCCTCTCCAAGTGACTTGCACTTGAACTGCTCTGTGAGCTTCCGCTGCACCCCATCGATCTCCTTGTCACTGCTGCTGAAGAGCAGGATGTCATCCACGTACACCAGCAGAAGCACAAGTGACTCCCCCTCTCCCATCAGGAATAGGCTCTCATTGCACGCACTCGCACGGAATCCAATCCCTTCCAGTGCACTGGCCAGCCTGTTGTACCAGCATCTCGGGGCCTGCTTCAAGCCATAGATGGCCTTGTTAAGTTTGCAGACACGACCGGTTCCATCCTCATAGCCAGGTGGTTGAACCATGTACACCTCCTCTTCCACAATGCCGTACAGAAAAGCGGTTACGATGTCCATCTGCTTCACCTTCCATTTGCGCACAGCAGCTACCGCCAGCAGCACACGTAGCGTTGGAGACTTAGCAGTTGGGGCAAACACTTCTTTGTAATCTTCCTTCTCTTTCTGCTGAAACCCCTTTGCCACCAGCCTGCTCTTGTAAACGGATGGCTCTCCTTTCTCATCCGTCTTGATTTTTGCCAGCCACTTCTTCCCATTTGGCAAGTACACCAGGTCCCATGTGTGATTCTCCATCTGGCTGTTGTACTCTGCATCTCTTGAAACGAGCCACTTCCCCCGTTGAGGCCTGGCTAGCGCATGATCCATGCTCGGAGGTTGTATTGGTGCGTAAAAGCAGTATGCAGGCTCCTCGTCATCTGACTCTTGGTCATCACCCAAGAACAGCACTGCATCTTCGCCTTGAGCCTGTTCCTGCTGCTCAGTTGTGGCTCCTCCACTTGTGGAGCTCAGCAGCTTTCTCGTTGCCATTCTGGTACGTGCAGGGTAGATGGTTGGATTTACCCATTCTTTCACCTTCACCCAATCCTTTGTCCCCCCACCAATCTGTTTCCTTCGCTTTGGCAGACTTGGTGTTTTGGAAGCCTCTTGCTGCTGCTGCTCCAGATCCTTGACTTCAGCATCAGCTGCAATATCCTCATTGCTTCCTTCATCAGTACCGCTTGCCGTTGGCGCAGTGACTTCGCTGTCCTCAGGTTCGGACAGATCGAAGTGCATAGTGATCTCTTCCAGCTGCTGGGTGACCCTTGCCTCCGGCTGCTTCTCCCACTTGACATATATGATGTTCTCCACAAATTTGACATCCCGACTGTCAAACAACACATTCTTTGAGGACTCTCAGAGTAGCCACCCCTTGCTCCCTGCCGCAAGCCCAAGGTGCACACACCAAAGTGCAGATGCTCCAAGCTTTGTCCTGTACGGTTTAGGGACATGCGCCACAGCCATGCATCCGAACACTCTAAGCATGTCCACTGGAGGCTTCTTTCCAAGCCACCTCTCCAGCGGCACCCACATATCATCAGCCACCTTTGTGAGTACGCGGTTCCTTGCCACTGTAGCGTGCCTCACCGCATGAGGCCACATGGAGTTCCCCAGCCCTGATCCGATCAGCAGCGCTCGCGCAGTTTCCAGGATGGTCCTATTAGCCCTCTCAGCAACGCCATTTGACTGAGGGGTATAGGACGTCGTTAGCTGATGCTCAATGCCTTGTTTCTTGAGCCACGCAGTCAGATCTCCTCCTAGAAACTCTCCACCTCGGTCGGTTCTGATGCTCTTGCATGGGTGCCCAGATTGTCGCTCGACGAACGGCAGCCAATCATCTCGTATTGTTGAGGCAGCATGATCCTTCTGCTTCAACGGGTATGCCCACATCAGCCGACTCCAGTCATCAACTATTGTCAGGAAGTACCTTTCCCCCTTACTTCCTCGAACTGGAAAAGGTCCTACCAGGTCTATGTGCACCAGTTCCAGTGCTGCCTTGCTTTTCCCAGCTACGCCGTGAAAGGGGAACCGTGTGAACTTGCTGAGCAGACACGTCTCGCACTTGGTATCATTTGGTTGCCCAGAAAGCTTGAGCCCCTTTACTGCTTCTTCCTTATGCAGTTGCTGCAGCAATGGCATAGCCACATGCCCTAGACGCCTGTGTGCGGTTTTTCAATCAGTCTCCCCCGACCTTGCAGAAACCGTCACTCCTGCAGCACTTACTGCATTACACTCCCCCTGGACTCCAGAACCCGCCTTTACTTCTCCCAACTCCTTCTTTGTTGATTCCCATATCAGTGCAGGGATCTGCCACATGGATCTCAAGACATCTCTGCTTTCGTGTAAATCCCATAACACACGATCTCCTCGCAGCCCCTTGAATGTTTTGGATCCATTGGTGGTGGTGCTGACTCCGGCCTGGCCTAGCTTGCGCAGCGATATCAGATTGGCCTTCAGCCCCGGTACGAGTAACATGTTCTTCAGCACAACCAGTCCACCATCAGGTGCTCTGAATGCAGCTCGACCAACTCCAGCGACCTTCACTGCATGTCCGGATGCTGAGCGCACTTCAGAGATTGGAGGCGCTCGCACAGCATCCAGCAAGTCCTTGCGTGGTGTCATTGTCCATGCAGCACCAGAGTCCATGGCCCACATGTCAAGCGGGTGCAATTCCTCTCCAGCCCTTGCAACAGCTGTGCCACTGTCATCTTTGTCACACACATGGTAGAACTGTCCAGCATTCCTCTCCTCATTTCCCATTCCTCTGTCATCCTTGGAGGTTTCTTCAGCAGGATCAGCTACCATGTTGGCACCTCCATGTGGTTGCTTTCCTCCATTCCCCTTTTGCGATTGGTTCCATGGGGTCCACCAGTCGGGCTTGGTAGAGCAGCGAAACCATGGATGCCCTTCTTCCTTGCAATACCAGCACTCTCCCCTCAAGCGTGGTTCACTGTTGTCATTGTTGGAGTGACCACCTCTTCCTCTTGCACCAGCGCCACCACGCCCCCGCTGGTTCCAAGTCCCGCGACCACCTTGGTTGTAGTAAGAGCGACCGCGATTGCCACGCCCTCGATCCCTCCATGTCCCTTGCATGGCATAGCCGCTGGTGCTGTCATCACCTCCGCGCAGTGTATAGCGACGAAAATCTTCTTCCAGAATCTTGGTGCGAATCCACTCCAATGTCCATTGACTTTGGTTTTGTGGCAAGCTGAGTCCGCTTATAAATTGCAGCCAAGACTCGGGCAGCAGGCTGAGCATCTTGAGACACTTAGTCTGCTCGGGGTACGTGATGCCAGCAATCGCCAATTTCGCGTAGAGTTCCCTCATCTTGTCCAGTACGGGCTGCACAGGTTCATTCTCGCTCAACCGCAGCATGGACAGCTCCCGATCCACCATGAGAGAAGCGGCAATCGATGTCGGAGCGTGCAGGTCCTTGAGCACTGCCCATGCCTTGGGCCCACAATCAGTTTCCGGCAGCAGATGCATGATGTGATGCCTCTGGTTCAGCTCCAAGCTTTGTGACAGTAGATAATACCCAGCAGATGAACGTTCATCCCAGTCCGCTCGCTCTGCCATTTCCTTTGGCCTGGGCTCCGTTCCAATCATGAGCTTCAAGAGGCCAATTTGTCGAAAGTAGAGCTGCATCTTCCATGCCCAATCATCATAGCCATCTCCAAAGAACTTCTCAATGGTGAAGTTCTTCAGCACCTCCTTAAGCAGTGACCCCTGGCTTGTACGCGCTCCCCTTTGCGCTGCAATGCCAGAATCTTGGGTTGAGCTGCCTCCTTGGACTGAAGTATCACCTCCACCAGAGTCCTCCTTATCTCCCATCGTATTTTAGGTCCCAAATGCTTGATAATGGGCTCTGATACCACTTGTTGGTTAGAGAAGGCTATAAGCAGATGATTCAATGGCTCCTTGGAAATTTCTGCAGCACTTCGTTATGACGCCCAGAAAACTCGCGACCTTCGAAAAGCTATATCTAACACTCCAATCGGTGAAACAATCTGAAAATCGGATATGTTGTAGCTTGCAGCGTCAGCTTTCCACTGAAAGTTGAATCACTCAATTCCGTAGCTTTTCGAGTGAGCTATGGCGATTGGCGCACTGGGGGGTAATCTGCCCTAGGAGAAATTGACAGTCCTCAGAATCACTATGATTGAAGCTTACAAGTTCAGAGGCATGATAGGAAAGGCATTGAAGCACAGTTGGGGCCAAGCCCTCCGCCCGCTCTCTATGCGTCTGGGGGTGTACCGCATATGTGTTGCTGAGCCCCCACACGCACAGGAAGCAAGGTGGCAAGCTTGGTCTCAAAACCCAGACCTGCATGTACCTGGGGCACAACTCCGATTCCCCAGACTACTTATTCCTCAACCCCATTACCAGACAGCTGATTCGCAGCCGTGATGTCATCTTCGATGAGAAACGCCCCTTCCACTCTGCGACCACGGGCAAGCCTCGTCCAACTCCCCCGACGCTTGTATGGGCAGACTTCGATGCCCCACCTCCGGCCGCTGCCCCTTCTTCCGGGCCTTCTCCGTCCGGTGTGTCTCACCCGGCCTCCCCGGTATCCTCCAGCGGCACCTCCTCCTGCTCCGCCTTCCCCACGCGTCGAGCCCGGCTCACCAGTCTCCTACCGGAAGCGCCCAGTCCCTCCGGTCCCACCGCAGCAGCCTTTGTCTCCGGTCTCTAGTCGCACTCGTTCCAAGGGATCGGCTCCGCCTCTCGCCTGGGGACCAGCCGCCTTCTCCATCCGGTGTTCGGTCACCCCACCTCCTCCTGCCGGGGGTGATGTCCCCTCCATCCGAATTCCCCCCCGTGCACTTCTGGAGGACAGGCATGAGGAGCTGTTTGACCTTCCCGCGGTCTGCCAATTTCTCTCACATCTTCCCGGACATTACTGACTGCCCTTCCCTCAACTTCACCGAGAACCCGACCATTCCGACTCCTCGCACAAAAGAGGAAGCTCTCTCGGGGCCTTATAAGAAGGAGTGGAAGGCAGCAATGGATGTGGAGAACGAGGCGTTCATTCGCAACAACAGATTTGACGATGTCGTTCCCCCTTCATTAGTGTCATCTCTCGGTACGTCTCCCACGGACGCGACACAGCCTCGCATTGGTCTGCAGCCAAGAGGGTCCTCCGATATCTACAAGCCTCCAAGTCTCACATCCTCACTCTCGGTGGTACCTCTCCAGTTAAGCTCGAGGGATACACAGACTCCTCATGGGCCGATGACCAGACTGACAGATGCTCCTCCCAAGGGTACTGCTTCACTCTTGGTAGCGGAGTCATCAGCTGGCGTTCCACTCGGTCCTCTTCAGTCTCCCTATCGTCCTGCGAGGCCGAGCTCTACGCGGGCACAATGGCTGCTCAAGAGGCACGCTGGCTCTCCTTTCTCCTCGCTGAGTTAGGCTACCCCCAGCAGTCGCCCACCCTATGGTGTGACAACCAGAGCGCGATTCACCTCACCAAGGATCCTGTGTTCCACTCTCGCACCAAGCACATTGAACTTCGTCATTTCTTCATCCAAGATCTTGTTCAGAGTGACCAGCTGACGGTACGGTACATCGCCTCAGATTGCAACCTCGCCGACCTCTTTACCAAGGCTCTTGGCAAGGCTGACCACTATCGCCTTCTTCGTTCCATGGGGCTATGTGCTCCTTGACCGGGTTTTGCAGTCTATGGGGGTGTGTTAGAAATAGATTGCAAATCCTACTTTTGTATTTGTACTTTTATATCCTAGTTTAGGTTAGGAATGTTCTAGTAGGTTGGGGTGTACTCACAAAATCCCAACCTCACCCAATTGTGATCCCCCCAATCTCCAATTACCCAATTGGAGATTCTGGAGATCCCAATGGGGATTCCCTCCGATTCCCCCTTCATCCATTCTCCCTTACCTTGCCATGTACTTATAGAGCCTTGGGCTCGTTACCTAATCAATAATTTCAGCTCTATTTTACACCTACCACCCACAGACCGACAGGCAGACCGAACGATTGAACTAAACTATGGAACAACACATTCGGACTACCTGTACTGACCCACACACATGGGAGAAATCCCTTCCACTGCTGGAATTCGCGTATAAGTTACGCCCACAGCAACAGCTCATCTGTCCCCATTTTTCCTGAACTACAGACAAGTCCCTTGTAGTACCCTCTGCAGCCAATACTGAGACCCCAGTTCCCCGATCCCAACGTTTTGCAGAATACACTCTCGACGGTCGAGAAAAAGCAGCCGAGGCCATCCGAAAAACCAACTTGGTCGCAAGCTGAGAAGCCGATCTCCATTGACGTTACGTCACTTACAAGGTGGGGGGCCTCGTTCTACTCGACACTTGCAACTTGCGCCTGCCGATCCCAGGCAAACTCCGCCCTCGCTAATATAAGCCATTTCAAGTGACCAACGTGGTGACACCAGTCACAGTGTACCTCCGACTCCTAGCCGACTGGCATGACGACCCGGCTTTCCACGTCAGCCTTCTGCGACCCTACATCCCGAGTTCGTCAAACTTGGCACGTTAGTGAATTGTCCCGCAACTGACCCCCCAGCAAGAACCAACAACCGAGCCCTGAAGATTCTCGGCCATCGCGTCACCACGCTGCCGAACCGTCGGATGGTGGATTTCTTAATCCGCTGGCATGATTGGACGTCTGAACATGACAGCTGGGTGCCTCTCGCTGATATATAATCACATCCGGTTCTAACAACATATTATCACTGTCGGAATGTTTCCGATGCCCGCGGCCTCGTTTGGGAGGGCGGGTAGTGTAAGGAATTTCCATTCCTTACTGATTTGTACGCTAGCGCGTACACCCGAACTCCTCGACTCGCCACGTTCGGCCTCATTTGTTGGCCCAACCCTTGCCCGAGTCGCGTCCGGCATTGTCGCCACATTGCCGAACCTACCCTCATCACGAGGTTATCATCCTAGCATGACAGCCCCTATTTAAGCTCGCGCCTTCATTGCAATAGCGGCCTTGTGTTCTCACGCTTTTATTCATTGACACATCCTATTTCATAACATATTGTAATGATGCGCAAAGAGCGTGTGTCGAAAAGTTGAGTAACGAGGAAACAATACAACTGAAGGCAACATCAGAACAGTAGGGAGCATGGATATAGCTAGCCTAGAGCACACGATCGTGGCTCGGCAGAGCTGCGACGTGTGGTTCATAAATTGGCGCGAAGCACCCTGATATAGCCATCAAACAACAAGGCAGGCATGCAGCTCGTCAGGAGGCCACATTTGGGTACCGCGATTTGAATTTCGTGGCAGAGCTGCGCGGCAACATCGTTATAGCAGTGCACGCCTTTTTAGCTAGACCCATGATAAGGAAATACCATTTCCTTACACCCTACCCCCTCCAAGGTATTGTCTTAGCTAAGACCGCCGACGTCGCGCATGTTGTGTGACTGGATGTAGACTCGTAACACCGGGTAATTCTCGATTTGTGCCAAGGGCACCCAACTATTTTCCAGTGCCGTTCAGTCCTTCCGAGATATCAGAAACTCGATCAGGCGGGCCCCTTGAGGGTCCTTGATCCAATGGCTGAGAATCTTCGCAGGTTCGACAGTAGGCTCGGAGAGCGGTCGGATGTTTCGGGTTGCTCGGTGATGTGGTGATTTACTGGTGCTGGCGATGTATGGTCAAAGTAACCGCACGTGAAATGATGGGCTTACGTTCCAGGTGGCTGGTAGCAGTAGGTGGGCTGTAACGGAGGATATCATGTGGCTGATTGTAAATGGTCTGCAGTATCGAGGGCGAAGTTTTGGGACGATGGGCAGTCGAAGGTTCTGAGTGTCGAGCAGTACTATGTCTCCAGCGTGGTATGTCACTGCTCGTTGGTGTAGGTCAGTGTTGCGCTTTCAAATAACATTCTCGTGCTTAATGGCTTCGGTGGCTCACTCCCGGGCATTCTGTAATATTTCAACGGACTGTTGGGCTCGATGTATAGGATTTTTTATGTTGGGTGTGATTGGTAGTGTAGGGTTTTGTCCTTAATTCAGGTAGAAAGGTGACTGTCGTGTAGTGGTTGACGGGGCATTATTATACGTAAACTCAATGAGTGGAAGTTGCTGCTCCCAGTCGTCGCAGGTGGTGCGAATCAGCTCCTCCATCGTCTGATTGGCCCGTTTGGTCTGTCTGTCAGTCTCCGGGTGGTAGGCGGAGGAGAATTGCAGGCGCGTGCCAAACTGTTCCCATAGGTTGCGCCATAAATTACTGGTGAATTTTGTGTCACGATCCAAAATGATGGCGGATGGAATTCCATCGAGGTGAACGACAGTTGGGATGAAGAGGCGGGCTGTTTCTTTGGCTGAGATACTTTCCTTGCAGGCGGCGAAGTGGGCCATCTTCGTGAGCTTATCGACGACGATAAATATCGCGTCATTACAGCCGTCCTTTGCAGGCAGTCCTGTGACGAAGTCCATCGTCACCTGCTGCAGCCCCCGCTCAGGCGGCGGGATCGATTGCAACTATCCAGCTGGCTTCTGCTTCGAAGATTTCATACAGTGGCGGAAACAATTGTCATGATGTTTTGCATTAATGAGGGTTTTTGGGCTTTTTGACCACTGTACATAAAGTCTTATATTTAATGGTGGTACGCTTTGGGAGGGGCACTTAGTAGATGTGTTCACAGTGCTAAAATCCATAATATTACACTGGATCTAACAATATGCCACAACAAAGAGTACATCCGGATAATTCTTTCCAAGGACAAAGAGTAAACTTCCGAACAGCGTTTCTAGTACCTAGTCCACCGACCCTTGGCCTTGATCACCACCCGCACCCTCCTAGGCATGTTGTCTATGAGGTTAGTGCAAAGCTTTGCAGGGATCTTCTCGATCTCTTCCTAGACCCACCTTTTTGCATAAGGGGGTGAGCACTAGGAAGATCGCAAAGGATTTGAGCGTATGCAAGAAATTTGTGCACGATTTTTGAGTGAATATTGTCTTCGTGACTAGCCACGCTGAGGTGTGACCAAAGATACCATTACCCGATTGGTTCGATCTTATCAAAGGTCAACTTCGTGGTACCGCTATAGGGTAAAACCACGAACAGAGCAGCGAAAACTAGAGTATACGCCGCGAAACTGAGGATATCGTAGCACGGTCGATCGTGCACCCTTGCACTATTAGAATCACGCTAGGATCTGCAGGTCTC